TTAGCTAAGCATATGAGGAAAGGTGACAACAAAGGAACCAAGGAAATATAAATTTGATTTAATAACTTATCAGCAAAATAGAAAGTTATTTTGGACATCACATATGGCGGGGCAATCATGAATAATCATGAATAAGTTGCATAGCAACAACTTTATATCTTTATGGACATTAAATAAGGTGGAGCATATCCAAAACACACTAGGATATACCATTCACCAATTGATAGAGATGATGTGTTCATGAATCTCATAGCCCAACGTAAGATAAATTACCACATAGTAGTAACAAGCCAAAAAGTCGCACAAATAATTAATGCCTGAAAGATGCCACTCAAATTTATCATGGCTTTGTGAGCCTGTAATGTTACTATTGCTGGAGAATGTATACTCGCTTTCTACTTGGAGTTCTCACTAGGGCTTTATCATTTGTTCAACTCTTGATATGCAACTCTTTATCCAAAAATTGGTCTAATTCTCGTAAAAATATTTTTTTATTTAATTTTGAGTAGATTTTAATTTTAGGTGTTTGCCTCTCGTGCCTCGAGGAATATGAATCGAATGAGTCAAAGGAAAATATTGTTCATGCAAGCAAATCATAAACCTTGATGGGTTTATTGTGTGCTTTGTGGTGAGGAGCATCTCAGTGTGTGTGCCTTAAATGCCTTTTTAAGTCATAGTGAGTTCGATGCCTTCGGCACACCAATTGCAAGGCTTTCATTCTTTCGAATTGTTCATTAATTTTTAGCTATAAAAATTATTATTGGTGTTACAGTTGTCTCCTTGCTCATCACTGTTTTTGAAGTGTTCTTTGTGACATGAGGGGATTTTTGTATAGGCTGTTAGTGTTTGCTTTAAAGGAAAAAGAAAAAGATTGTGTCATAATCATTAAATAGTTAATCTCAAAATAAATAAACTTAATTTATTAGTCATGAACCACCCAATATTTATCTTTTTTGAAGTCAAAGCCATTTGAGATTTTGGTGGGAAGAGATGCTTGAAAAAGTCAAAGAAAAATATAGGTGATCTTTTTCTCCCACACTCATACCCATCTTTTTTCTATCCGCCCAATCCTCTTAGAATGTATTATTGTTTGAAACTTGGTGAATCTTAGTAGGAGTTTCTTTCTGTGATCCTTTCTTTGTCCAAAGAAAAAACTACTTTAAACTATATACTATTAACCAACAAATTCTATATGGAAATTTGATTTCTTTTAATTTCATTATTTTAACGAATGAATGCTGTAGAACATAAAAGATGATCTGTGAGGCTTGTTTGGTTTAGAGTTATGTTTCCTAAGAGATAGTAAACTAATATTGGTAAGGGATAAGCATTCAATTTAATTAAATCACCTAGTTGGCTATAAAATAAGATGTTAAAAGCTCAAAAATTGTCTGCGCTAGTTTATTTTTTTTTAACTTCACAAATTTGAACCACACAAATATTGATGCAAAATTGGAGGAACTAGGTTTGATTTAGCTCAGGCTAATCAAAACTTGAGCGATGTCGTTCCTTGAAGGGAACAAGGGGGACAAAAACTTTGAAAAGCATATTCAAATTATTGTCAATGCTATGTTTGTTCTATTGCTCATTTTTTTTCGAAGTCATTTTTTGTCGGGTGAGGTATTTTTATATTTTTCTTTGGAATGATGGAATCCATTTTTCACCAGTTCTAAGCAATGAAATTTCAACCCATATCAAAACTTTTCCTTCTAATTTAGTAGATGAAACCTAAAATGGTCGGTACCATTAGTATGGTTATTATTTCTAATTTTTTTGGTTGTTTTTATTCACTGACAACAACGCATGTGCAAGTAAAGCTTTATAAAAGAGTAAAAATCTCATAAGCTTGTGAAGCTTAAAAAGTCAATTAAGTCGGGCTTAAGTACTTAGTTTGAAGTGAAAAGCTATTTAGGTCGTCTTCAAGCTTATGGGGTTAATTGCTCCTTAACCACGAACTAAACAAGCTCCAGTGGAGACAATGGGCAATTATCTCAATGGCTTTACTATGAGTATTAGGTCAAATATTTTGGTGTGATGTTGGGGCTTATGATTTATTTTCAAGTTTTATTTCTAGGGTCTATCAATTATGTTGCTTAGTTTCTTGGTTTATTAAGATATCTTTAGTAGGGTTGTGAACTAGTTAAGGCAAGCCAAGCAATTTCTGCTCATGCATGTTGGTAAATTTCTTATTGAGTTCTTTCTTATCTTGAACATGACTGGGGTTTGAAATCATGCTCAATTTCGCTCAGGCTATAATCTTTAATCTAGCATAGCTAAACAATTGTGAGATGGTAATATTTTAAACTTATATCATTATTATCTAAGATGTTTTTATTTATTTATTTTTGATTAATTTACTTTGTATGTTTTCTAACCTATCTAAAATTTAAATTTTAAAAATGTAACTAGTGGAAATTTGAAATTGTGTAATATTTTGATGAATCCATGAATGCACACCATAAATAGCTTTATCTTATCCATTAGGGTATAATTTTATGTCACTTCATTCTCCATCTGCTCTTGTTGAATGCTGCGTAAGCTGTTAAACTTATTTTGTGTAAATCTTTTCATAACACTTCTACCAATATTAACTTTCATCTACTTCATATATAATCTTGTCATTAATTATAACATGTCATTTTGTTAGTCTCTTCTGCTCCTTATTCTACTTGCTCAAACTAGCTTGGTCTATTTCTCATGACCTTATTATTCATAGATGCTATTGCAAAATTCTCTCTAATATAATCATTTCTCAATTCATTTTTTTTTCTAGTTTTGATTGTACATCCATCTTAACATTCTCTTTTCTATCTTGTTCAATTTTTTTTAATGACTTTGTTAGCGCTCAATATTCAGATTCCTACAACACAATAGACTTGATTGAACTTGTCTTAACACAAAACTTGAAGTCTCTCTGTTGTTCTCTTGCTACATATTACTCTTTAAGGCTTTTTTTTAACCATCTGTTCCTATTATAACTTCATCTATCTTTGTTCTTTAGTATAATAATTCCTATATATTTAAAGGATCAACTTATCATACATGGTCTTCACTTTACATTCTAATATTACTGTCTAATTATTATTAATATTACTTATTAATCCTGGAACTCTTCTCTAAACATATTCTTCATTCTATTTGCTTTCACCTTTTTAACATATTTCTCATTATTGAGGATCATCACCTATGAGAAATTTGTACTATGATATCTCACTTTAAATAACAGTCATAGCCAGTACAGAAAGTTACATACATCTTAGGAACTCTTTGACCATTCTAGAATTATTTTTTAGTATTAGTTAATCCACCATCATGCATATCTTAAAAGATTTTAACATGCGTTTGTTGTTTTTTTAATTAATGCATACCAAATCAATCTTAACATCACTCGATCAACATGGAGTCTATTTATGTTTAGGTCTTAAGCAGGATTTAAGTTTGGTATGGGAACACGGCATAAGAAATTAAATAGGCTACTGAGTTAGCATTAACTGAGGGAAAATATTGGCTAAGGATATCCTAAACTAAATCAGAATTATAATATACTCATCGTTTGCCATAAGTCCATTCTCATAAAATATGGATGCAAAAACCTTCAAAGGTTAGGTAGATGAGAATACTTGTTGGGTTATGAGCTTTTTCTCTTTCTAATTTGTCTTGGAATATCTTGGGCAAAGTTTTTTTTCCTGAATTTTTATTTTATCAAGCTACTTGTTTAACAAAAAATGAGAATGTGCATGAATATAGATAAATAAGTTGGATACTGTTTAAAATACTTCAAACTTCTCTAGTCACATTATGCTCATTAAATTAGCCAAGTAGTAGAAATACATATAGTAGTTAATCAGATGAGTACGGAGCCTTAAGTTCAGAATTCTTTATTCATATGTCGAACTTAAATCATGTTCAAACTTGTTTGAGAAATCACCCGAGTTCAAAAATTTTCCTCCATATGTCGAACTTCTTAAATCACATTCAAGGTTGTTTAATTAGCTAATTCAACATACACATGAGTCTTAATACGACAAGCATGAAGCTTTTCATGGTGTATCAGATTTGCTTATGCCTGTCTTACTGCTCTATGTGCACCCATAATTTTCAACTTGGTTAGCTGCACTGGATGTTGTGATCATATAACTTGCTGGCATGTTTACATTGTTTCTGTTGTGTGAGCTTTTATTTATTAGACCTCATTTGCTAATGTGTTTTACTAGCTCTTCTAGGAAATCACATAAAAACGAACGCATATGAATTTTTTATTCTATTTGTTTCCCTCTTAGATCAAATGCTATGATGGGTTTTGCTTAGTTTGGTTGTGGCTGCTCAAGTATTTTTGTGCGATGCTGCAAGTTCCTGTTAGGCTTTGATTATAAAATTTTCTCGTTACATAACAAATATTTCATAAGCATTCATTTGAGTGTATTCTCTTAGTTGGCATCCTGCCATCTTTATTTTCAATATTTATTCTTTCTTTCTATTTTGGTTGTGCATTTTTTTCATGGCACAGGTGCTCATTGCACTTAGAATCTAGTCAACATTTCAAGGCTAGAAAATAAGTTTGATTTTATGTTAAGCAATTGCAATTATGAATTCTGTTTAGTTTTGGTTAATGCTGCTCCAAATCAAATGAGAACTGAATTAAAATCAAATTAGTAAGAAACTAAATTTGAATTCTATGGGCCTTCTCCCCGTAAAATTTGTGATACTGATGATTAAGCAGATTTGACGATTCCAAGTCCTAGTTAACAGGAATGAGAGAACTTACTCCATGATACATTTTTGGTGATGAATATTAGGTGCAAATTTTGACAAAAGTTGTTAGGAAAGTAGGGCTCAATGTGATAATGACTATTTTTTTTTTCTATTTTTCACACGGCCTTTTTCGATAATTGTGTTATTAGTTTTTGCCTTGTACATTAAATAGCTCATACATTTTTTCGTATCCTCTTCAAGATGAAAATCACTACTTATGTGTTTTTTCCTTTAATTATTTTATTCAGGAGATGAGATTGGGCGCGATTCCTCCGAAGTTCCACTCTTCAGGTCATGCTGGTGGTTCAAGCATGCTACCAGGGCATGCAATGCCAAACATGTATAGTCATTCTACCTTCCCAAATTCAAGTCCAGTGAGACCACCTCCAAGAATGGTCGGAGCTCCAGATTCTCCAAATGTTTCGGTTGATGCATATCGCCAGCGACATGAAGTTACAGCAATGGTAACAGATCATGAATGCCATATTAATCACATTAAATGATATTTCCTTATTAACTGGAATTTAATGCTTAATCTATGTGAAGTAAGAATTTTTAAATTCTCAAGGCTTTATTCCGGAGGAATTTATTTTAGACTTCTTCCAGATAATTTGCTCATCTCTGTTGTTACGAGTGGTGTTTGTATTTTTATGCTGATGTAGTGGCATACTAGATAAAACATGACAAAATTGTTGTAAAGAGGTTTTAGCTTTTTATATTTAATATTCTGTTGCTTCTGTTTTCTCAAAACATATTTCTTGAAAGATTGGGCTGACATGGCTATCAGCTCTTAAGATATTAATTTCTTATTGAATTGAACTTTCCACTACTCATTAACTTGTGATTCTGGAACAGCTTATCCCACTATTTTTTCTATTTCTGATAGTTATGAAAATATAGTAGTTGACTTGACCTTATTATTTATTAAGTAGCATGCCCTGTTACCTATGGTTGAATCCTGAACAATAAGCTTGGATGCCAGAGTGCCCTTCTTTCTGAATTGTTTTGGGCAACTTATGGGAATTACTGATTGCAGATTAAAATCATGGTTTCTTGAAGTTCTTTATAAGAAGTACGACACCGAATATATTAAATTGTGTGGATTTTATGACAAATGTTACCCACTGGAAACATGATAATATGCTGCATGGTGTTTGGAATCCTCAATGTCCTTTTCAATCTGACTTTATGTTGGCAGGTCACTAGTTGCCACCTTTGGGTTATGTTATCTTGTTTCTTGCAATTTTTGCCCTAAAAGATTGATAATGAAAATATGCCCTGTTGTAGTTTGGTTTCTCCTTTAGTGGTTTATGTTTTAAAGTTCTGTTACTTTATGTAGTGCTTTAGCACACTCGCTAGCTGGTACGAATGCTTGCGCTGTTGAATGATTAAGTTGATACTTTACTGCATTTGGATTTTTTTTCATTGAATTGACAACTAGGATTGGTTTATCAGACAGGACTAATGCAAAATAAGGGGACAATTATAGCCCAAAAAAAGGCCAGGATGCACTAGAATTACATTAGGCATTCTTCCTCTCTATTTGGGGTTGAAAGCAGAAATGAAGTTTTGTAATCATTTGGGACACTTCAACTAAACTTTTGGTCATAGATTAGATTGCAATATCATTTTGCATCAGAAAATGTTTTAAAATGATGAAGTTTATGTTTGTTATACCTGTTGACTATTTATTCGTACAATTAAATTTATTTATTCTTTTTGTTTAAACTCAAGAAATATCCACTTGTTGCACTGCTTACTATATGAAATGCACTGACTCCTTGGAACAATTTTTTTAGGGGGACAATATTCCTGCCCCATTTATGACATTTGAAGCCACTGGATTCCCTGCAGAGGTTCTGAGAGAGGTACCTTGTCTGATTGATTTTTTGTAGAGTAGATTATTTGCTTATATGTTATTTTTGTGAGAGGTGCGTTTGGAGCAGTAGTTAAGTTGCCTTTAATATGATTTGGAGGTTGCATAAGTAACCTTTTTAAATATAAGGGTAAGATTGCTTGATTTAACCCTCCCCATATCTTTCATTTTGGGTGGCTCCATGCATCAGTTATATTTTTTCTATCAAAGAAATGACGTCATTCTTTCTTTTTTTTTTGTGTGTGCGTGTGATCAACCTTAATGTTTTTGTTGACGTTGTGAGTGATTGACCTTTAAAATATCAGATACATGCTGCTGGTTTCTTGTATCCCACACCGATACAAGCACAAACTTGGCCCGTTGCATTGCAGAATAGAGACATAGTGGCTATTGCCAAAACTGGTTCTGGAAAGACGCTTGGCTATGTTATTCCTGCGATAATCCATCTTAGTAGATGCCGGAACAATCCCCAACTTGGTCCTACAGTGTTGATATTGGCTCCAACTCGTGAGCTCGCAACACAGATACAAGAAGAAACTATGAAATTTGGTAGATCTTCACGAATTTCTTGCACAGTAAGCTCTACAAGCAGATGTGTCACCATTACTGTGAAATCTGTTAATGACAAATTCTGGAATTTTACAACTTTATGTAGTGATTGACTTGTATACTAGTTTTCACTTATCCCATGCTTTTCTCCCCAATATCATATTTATTTTCTTGATCTGTGATGATTTTCAGGGAACATAAAAGTTCCTGTTGACCCCAGAAGGTTAAAATATATTTTTTAACCTCTAATATTTTAGATTCATTTTTCTAAATTGGCACTAAGTTAACTTTGTTGATTTTTTAGTGCCTCTATGGCGGTGCCCCGAAGGGCCCTCAGTTGAAGGACATTGAGCGTGGCGTGGATATTGTTGTGGCAACACCTGGTCGGCTTAATGACATTTTTGAAATGGGGAAGATCAACTTTCGGCAGATATCATTTCTTGTGCTTGATGAAGCAGATAGAATGCTTGACATGGGTTTTGAATATCAGATCCGTAAGATAGTTAATGAGATACCTCATCGAAGACAGACTCTGATGTATACTGCTACTTGGCCTATGGAAGTACGGAAGATAGCTGGTGATCTGCTTTTGAATGCTGTGCAGGTTAACATTGGCAGCGTTGATGAGCTTGTTGCCAACAAGGCCATCACACAGGTAAACTAATGATGTCAATTTATAGTATTTCTTTTTTTGTTTATTATTGTATGTAATGATTGCTATTGTGCGATAAATTGGTTTGTTTGAAACTTTTTAATATACTGCGTCTGTCACCCTTCTCTTTGTTGAATATTTTCTCTGATTTTATTTATTTTTTTCTTTTTTGTGTTTTAGTTGGATAAATCTTGATTTTGAAAAATATGCTTATGAAGGGTAATCCTTCTCAGTTGAGCAGATCTTTAGATGTGATTTAACTGCTGGTATGATGGATTTTTAAAATTCTTAGCTTGGAGCAGAATCTTCACCTTGTTGCTTGAAGGGAGCTTCTGTGCTTGTTTTGGTGGATATAAAAGTTGAAGGCTCGACCTGAGGATGCTTTATTCATCCATCATTTCCTTTTACCTCCGTCAACTTTCAATATACTGTTTAGATTATTTTAAAGAGTTATTTGTACGTCCAAATAATTTCTGTCAAACTTCAACATGGGATTGAAGCTTGAAACCTTTCTTCCCTGAAGGGAAGAATGTTAGTGATATTTTTTTGATATACAAGCTGATTTTTTTTATTGAATGAACCTCAGAAAGAAACGAAGATTCCAAAGGAAAATCAACCAATCTTTGACTGTTTTTTTCTCTTACTTCTTTCCTCTCTTTTAAATATCACCTCAAACCTCTCTCGCGCGCATGAGCTTTTCTTATGTTTGAACTGTCTCTTTCCTGTTTGTATCTTCTTCTTGGTTCCTTGTCTTGGTTTGTGCAGTATGTGGAAGTGGTGTCACAAATGGATAAGCAGAGAAGACTCGAACAAATTCTGAGAAGCCAGGAACGCGGATCTAAGGTCATCATCTTTTGCTCCACTAAAAAGCTCTGTGACCAGCTTGCCCGCAACATAGGCCGCCCCTTCGGTGCTATTGCCATTCATGGAGACAAGTCTCAGCAAGAAAGGGATCATGTTTTAAACCAATTTCGGACCGGAAAATTCCCAATTCTTGTTGCGACAGATGTTGCTGCCCGTGGACTCGACATTAAAGATATCAGGTTAAGTATTTTCTTAGGGTCAATATTTCTTCTTCTTTTCTAACTGTGAACAAAAGATTAATCTAGATATTCTGTTTTTTTATACATGAATTATGAAGGCTACTATAACAAACTCAACTATGCTTTTCTTCATTATATGCCTATTTAATTGCATCTGAAACAAATGAAAGGACAAGTTTTTATTAGATGCTTTTTATTGTTTAGAGTACATGACTTTCTCGAATTTTAATTTGTTATAGCTTTTAAAATATGTGGCTTTTTTATAAAATTGTTATTGTAAAGCCTCTCGTAATAAAAACTACTAAAAACCATCTTAAATTTGGGACAGCCTCTACATCTGCTATATTTGCTATTTCTCCATCTTTTCCTGCCAACAGAAGACATATGTGGTTGTAGTTTAATAAAAACCCTCTTAAATTTGGACAGCGTCTACTTCTGCTATATTTGCTCTTGTTCCATCCTTTCCTGTCAACAAGCATTTGGTGGTAGATTAATATAAATTTAAACTTTGGGAGCTTTTAGTATGCTCAAACTTGAAGGCTTCAATAAACTTAATGTATGTTTCTTTTATTGCATTTCCGTAGTTTTTCTCTAAATCGATCAAAATATGAGTTTTATTCTCTTGATTTTTGTGCTACTGTTTACTCTCTTATTTCTATTATCTTTATTGAATCGCTAAACATTTACAGTTCTACTGGTTGCACCATTTATCAACTCAATGCTCTTTCTTGTTCCAGGGTAGTAATCAATTATGATTTCCCAACTGGGATTGAGGATTATGTTCACCGCATAGGACGAACTGGTAGGGCTGGTGCCACCGGAGTATCATATACCTTCTTAACCGATCAAGATTGGAAACACGCACCCGAACTAGTGAAGCTACTCGAAGGTGCAAACCAAGGCGTTCCGCCGGAGATTCGGGAAATGGCTGCTCGTTCTGGCCCCCCTCCCCAAAGGTTTCCCCCTCATGGTGGAATGAACAACCGTTGGGATTCTAGCGGTAGCAATGGTGGTATTCGTATGGATCATAGTGGTGGTCGAGGCATGAGGGAATTCAATCGCGGGGGTGGCGGCAGTGGTCGGGGATTTGGTGGACGTGGTGGTCGGGGTGACTTCTTTGTTGATGGGCGTGGGGGGAATAGGGGTCGTGGGTTTAGCAGGGGAGGTCGTGGCGGAAGGCTTGATCGAGGTGGTCCACGTGATCGTTTCCAAAACTCCGATGGTCGTGGTCATTATGAAGGTGGAAGGGGGAGGGGGGGATATGGGGACAGGATCAGAGATCGAAGTTTCAGTCGTAGCCCTGAGAAAACTCGTGCATGGAGATACAACCGGAGTAGGAGCTCCAGCCGCAGTCGCAGTCGCAGTCGCAGTCGTAGCTGGAGTAGGAGCAGAAGCAGGAGTTGGTCTCCAAGAAGCCATAGTCGGAGTAGGAGCCCTAGTCCTAGCAGGAGCTATGATAGATATGACCAGCCGCCGCGGGGCCGCCGTCGGGTATCTGGATTTGATGTTCAAGTTGCTAGCGGGGTTGGACTTCAGGAGCAAGAGGCTGCAAATCGAGTCTCAGGATTCGATGCTCCACCCTCCTCTACCCCGGCAGCTGGTAATATATATCCCGAGTCAAAGCCTGGATTTAATCCACCTTTTGCAGGTCAGATGCCACCAATGTCCCCCGGACATGGCAACGGGACTTTCACAGGAGCTGAGATTGGCAATTAGCTGACAGGGAATAAGCAGCCACCTTGAAGCTTGTGGTATGTGATGTGTTTGAATGATTTAGGTTATATAATGCTCTGCTTAATCTGTATGGCCATTGATGAAACTGAGAATTATATAATTACTCTGTTTTGAATGGGTTTAACTTCTACAAGAATGGAGGACTACCAAAGTTTGGGGACACAAACGGCAGGTCTGAAAATTTTAATTTGGCGCTGGCTCAGGTTTCACTTTCCATTCATACATTTTGTTTTAGATGTATTGTTTCTTCTTCTTCTTTTTTTTTTTTTTTCTTAATTTTAATTTTGATATTAAGTTGATATAATGGAATCCTGAGGATGGAGCTGTTAGAGTGTTAAGTTTTTAAATATTGTATGATTATTACTCTTATAAACTTGATTTTTAGTGACAAATTTAAGTTAACTGCTGATTTTGTTGGTTGAGAAAACTCTATTTTCCGAGTTTTAAGTATCATGCATGTTTGGTAATGGCTTGAAGCACGAATTTACATGCATATATCTAATAAGCCTATTCATGTCCTTGCATATCCAATGTCTAAACTTTATTTATTGATTTTTTATATTGCATAACCATGAACTTTAAAGATATTTAAATCAATAAAAATTGATGAAAAATGAGTATATTTTATAATAATCTTATTTTTACATGATTTTTTTAATATGATTTTATTCTATAAGAAATCAAATGAGCTCTTAACTTTTACGTTGGATTTGGATATGCACCCAGTTGCATGTTTTAAGTCTAGGATTTTGGGTAATATGCAATATAAAATATATATATATATTGGTTTTAGATTTTCAATGTTGTATAATGTTCTACTTGATTTTGAAAAAAAATTACCATACTAATGGTTTGATTTTGAATTTTACTTGAGAGGATTAACTAAGTGGGTTCTATAGAGAAATAAGCGATGTCATCTGAGCATTTTGAGGCAAAGCAGTGCAAATTGGAGGCATGTGGAGCCCGGGCGCTCAGTTTCATAAAAATATTACATGCGGATATGGCAGCTGTGGAATAAGTGCAAATCCATGGTATTGGGGTGACATTGACTTCAATAAAATCCTAATACTACTGATCCACACATGAGAATGTCACTCATAATATTCTTTCCTTGAGTTGGAGCCTTAAATCAACTGGGGTGTCAGCCCTGAATTTTGCCTTAAATTGGTGACAGTTCTTGCCTGGTTTGGACTTTGAAGCTGAATTCCTACCAGTTTTATGCAATTTTTTTAAGTCGATTTGAGACCATTTTGCCATAAATTAGAGGGTGTTTTAAAGATTTGCAAGAGCTATTCTTGAGAGGTTTGAATGAAAAGTTTGAAGAGGTTTGAGGCAGAAGGACTAAAGCAAATATTAGAGAAATAGAGTGAGAGCGCAGTGGCATTTAGTTTATTCTACTCATTTCTTTAATTTATTGTTTGTTATGCTTAGTTTTATGCATTTTATGATGACTATTTTTTTTCTATCATGAACTAAATCTAATTTTTAAATTTTGGATATAATCATAAGTCTAATTAGATTTATTTTTAATAATTATTTTATAGTTCATGCTTTGCTTGTTTATCATGACATTAATCCTTTTGACCATTGTGCAAATGCTAGGGTATACCTTAGAAGCGATGTGTTGTATGACCTCAATGCAATGAAAAGTGTGCAAGAGGCGCCGCACTAACATCTGGGTTCGCAAGAGTTCTCACATTATAGACGGATGCAAATGAAAAAGTTAGTCAGTGAAATTAATATTAGGATAGGATCTTGGAATATAGGTACTCTCATAGGTAAATTAATAAAATTAGTTGATATTATGTTTCATGGAAAGATAAATATCTTGTGTTTTCAAGAAAGTAGATGGTTTGGAGAAAAAGGCTAAGGGTATTGATAGCTTAGGTTTTAAACTTTAATATTTAGGTAGGAGTAAAACTAAAAATGGTGTTGGCATAATTATGGACGAGTTTAAGAGAAATGTTGTAAAAATTAACAGAATTGAAGATAGAATTATAACCCTTAAGATTATTGTTGATACTAGGTTCTTAAGACTATAAGTGATTATGCTCATTAAGTAGGTTTAGATATAGGTTAAAAAAAATTGTAATGACCTAAAAGAATTAATGCAAATGATATTTCTTGAAGAAAGAATTTTTATTGGAGGAGATTTAAATGGACATATCGATAGAGTGATTGTAGATTTTGGAAATATTCATGGTGACAATGGTTTTGAAGTGAGTAATGAAGAAGGCAGAGTCATATTAGATTTTGCTTTAGCGTATGATTTTGTTATTACTAATACTTTATTTAATAAAATAGATGAGCATGTTATTACTTATAAGAACGGATCTAACAAAAACACAAATTGATTATTTTCTTATAAGAAGAAGAGATTGTCAAAATGTAAAGATTGTAAGATCATTCTAACTAAGAATTTCAGTACTTCACATTAATTATTAGTTCTGAGTTTTAAGATGAAGAGTTGTAAAATAAAAAATACTAAAAATCTTTGTCATAAAGTTAGATGGGAAAATTTAAAAGACACAAATACAATTATTTTTATGAGCAAACTTCAAGATTTCAAGATTTGGGATATTTATGAAGAAGCAAATTATATGTGAGATAATATTAAAAACACTATTAAACAAATTGCAAAAATGTGCTTAGAGAATCAAAAGAAAAATTTTCTATAGATTAAAATAATTAGTCGTAGAATAATAATATGCTAGAAAAGATAAAATATAAGAAGTTGTGTTATAAAAGTTGGTTTAAATGTAAAAGTATAGAGAACTGAGAAAAATACAAAATGGAAGCTAAAAATTCTATTTTTAGTTATCTTTATAATAGATTAAATACTTACAGGGTGAAAAATATATGTATAAAAATAGCCAAAAAAATAGAAAAGAATAATAAAAATTTAACTCAAGTAAAATATATTAAAGATGAAAATCAAAAAGTTGGTTTCTTAAAAAAGATATACAATATAAGTGTGTGAGTTATTTTGATAAATTTTTTAATATTTTTGAAAATATGATCGACCTTAGTAATATTAATATCATTAATAATAATAAAATATTTCATTTTGACCGTCGCATTAGTAAAAAGGAAGTTGAGAAGGCTTTAAAAAAATCATGAATGGAAAATCTGTAAGATCTGATGATATCACAATTAAAGTGTGGAAATTTTTGGGAGATTTGGGAATTTTTTAGCTCACTTAACTCTTTAATATTATTTTGAAAACTAAAAAGATGTCTGAGAAGTGGAGGAAGAGAATTTTGGTCCCTAATCTTAAGAATAAAGGGGATGCAGAAGAGTGTGCAAATTATAGAGTAATTAAGTTGATTTGTCATACGTTAAATTTATGGGAGAGAATAATTGAACATAGGCTAAGACACATTACAAAGATTTCTCATAATCAGTTTAGATTTATGTCGGGCAGGTCATCTATGGAAGCTATACATTTATTGAGAGGTTTTATGGAGACGTAGAGAGAGAATGAGGAGGATCTACATTTGATTGTTCTTGATTTAGAAAAAAAACTTATGATAAAGTTCCAAGAGATGTCCTTTGGAGAGTTTTAGAGAAGAAAGATGTTGAGAGGATTTATATTCAATTCATTAAAGATATGTAAACTAGAGTTGTTACTTGTGTTTGAACCAAGGAGGATTAACCAAATATTTACCTGTTTCTCTTGGATTACAATTGGGATCGAATTTAAGCCAATATCTTTTTTCTTTAGTTATGGATGCTCTTATTGGAAATTTATAGGAGAATGTACCGTAGTGTACACTTTTTACTGATGATGCCCTTTCTGTGGATTAGACGAGAAAAAGAGTTCAAGAAAAACTTGATTTATGGAGGTCTGCATTGAAGTTTAAGGAATTTCGCTTGAGTAGAACTAAAATTGAATGCATGGAATGTAATTTTAATAGTAGTAGCGCTAGTGACAGGGTTGTAACTATGGGTGATCAAATCATTAAAAGGTTTTAACGATTTAGATATCTCGGGTCTATTGTTCAAATTGATGGTGATATAAATTGTGATGTTATTAGTAGATTCAAGTCGGTTGGTTGAAGTGGAGGAATGCATCGGGTCTTTTTTTTGATAGAAAAGTACCACATAAATTAAAAGGAAAAAATTATAAGATAGTGGTGAGACCTGCAACGCTCTATGGTGTAGAATGTTGGCCTTTAAAAGAGAAGCATAAAAACAAGTTAAGTGTTGCCTAGATGAGAATACTTCGGTGGATGAGTGGCTTTACACCAAAAGACAAAATGCTAAGTGAATATATATGTGATAGAGTTGGTGTAGTTCTAGTGACGGGCAAAATTAGAGAGAGTTGTCTTAGATGGTTTGGTCACATTAAACATCGATCTTCTGATGATCTGGTTAAGAGAGTACATGTTTTATATTCGACTATGTTAAGAAAGACAAAGGTAGACCTAGAATGACTTGGGCATTTTGAATAAAAACGATCATAATTTATTAGAACTAAATAAAAATATGACACGTAATAGAACACAATGAAGAAAAAAGATTCATGTAGCCGGACCCACTAAGTGGGAGAAATGCTTATTGTTGTTGTTTGTTTTTGTTGTTTCTTTGCTTGTTTATCACGTATTTTATTCCGTGCTTAATGACCTAATTGTTTGGTCACTAATTGATAGTTTAGAAGCTCCATTGTGGTAGTTTGTTGGTGACCTTTTGAAAGATTTGTTTATCACGTATTTTATTCTGCGCTTAATGACCTTTCAAGCCTTTGATGAGCACAAATCTTTCAAATGGCCCTCAGAACACAAAAAAAAAAAAGGATTTTCCATTGATCTTTTTGAAAGATCATCTCAGTAAAATTAATTTTATATAATACGATGCTTGGTAACATAAAAAGATGAGCTATGATAATTTTTCATATGTTTTGCAAAAGATGATAAAACTCGGTGAGCTTTGATTAGTGGCAACAATTTTCACTTCAATCAGTAGATGCACCATTTTCACCTCTATTCAAGCGGCACAACTTCTTAAACTTAAGAGGTTACTATTCTATTACCCTATCAAGCAACCTTAAATGGCTAAAAAATTAGTACATTTAGAATGGTTAGAGTAGGAAACATGCAAAAAAAACTCCAAAATTGCATTAACTAACTATAGGTTGGGCATGCTAGTCTATTAACTATACAACTTCTTGGATTTTGAATTTTATGATATTATTTCATTGTTTCCTTTCACCTTCTGAATGAAACATAGCTTAAGATAGTATTTCCATGATACTAAAATGTTATTATAATAATTTAATCATCAATGCTTTTTAGCAACACTTATGTAATATACGTAATTGGTCGAATGTGTGCAAGAAAGTATGGTGCCTAGAATGAATTGCTTTGCAAGGTAACATAATTTCCAATATCTATAGGTTTCTT